CCTATTGGTCCAGATCCTTCTGTCGGGTGTACTTTTTCCCAGATTTAATTACATGGTAAAATGCTTCAAAATGCTTGATGGCTAGTCTTAACCAGAATAATAGAAGCTCAGCTTGATTCTATTGTGCACTATTTTACTGATGAACATTTGCACTTGCATGTACTAATAAGACTGCAAAAAGAGAGAATGTACTTAGTGATTGTACATGAAGTTGCAGCAAGAGACTTTCTGCATAGTGTTTTGCCAAAAATCAGGAGTGTGTTTTGCATTGATAAAATATAGCACAAACTGTACATAAAAGAATCTCAGAATTAATTTTAGACTTTCCTTGTTATTTTTATTCTTTAGAGAGAGGTGTTTATTGCTTATTTTACAACATTTGTCAAATAAATACTTTGATCTGGTGCATAATCATAATCCTATATACAAATATCATATCTCTTTGACCTTTATATTACATTTTCAAATAATAAAGCACTGATCAATGCAATATAAAGGTAGTATGTCAAATTATCCTTTAAATAGTACATATATTATTAGTTTTTCCAGCCTTTTCCAATCTGGTTCCCTCTAGATGTTCCATGAACATGGATTGCTCTAGCTGAGCCTGATGGCAGCTCAATTCCTGAAGGAACCAGGAAATTTAGTGCTACTTCTTCCTGGTTCCTGAGTGAATCAAGAAATATAAGCTACTTCAGTGCTTTTGTAGGTTATAAGAGTTCCTTTTCTATGGCAGCTCATCCACCATTAAGCTATCTCTGCATGTTATTCCTGCTGTCTTTCTGTTAACCCATATGACTGGACAGAGGAATTTCGACTGTATTCGTGTGGGAACTCTCTCCCCTGCAGAAGTCCCAGAAAGGTTGTCCAACCAGCCTATGATTGGACAATGGAGATCACTTTAGATTTTGTTAGAGGCTAGAGTAATAACCAGTAATAGCCATGTCTTCATCTATGTCTTGGTTGTCAGTTGTCTCCATTTTGCTCTGTCCTATTGAAGGCCTGGGGTCTGGTCTGTATCAGTAGCTTTTTGTAAGTTCTGTTATTTTGCCTTGCAAATACTGTTTCCAAATAATGTTCTGTTTGTTGTATGCCATCAACAACTTTCACTTTCTGCAAATAAAGTGATCACCTTCAATAACTGAATATATGTGTGTCATTCCAATTGAGCTTTTGTACTAAGTTCAGAGCTTTTCTCTGGATTACCTCTACAGTTTAAGTTCCAGACCTAAGGCTTTGCAATAGAAGGTGCTGGCTTGGCCCATTGCTTTGCAACCCTTAAGAGGGTCCTGTAAGATCTGACAGTCCCCTGGTTCAGGCTCAGTTGGAATTAAGGTGTGGTGACAGCTACCTTTTATCTCCTTGTGCTCTGCTAAGAGTCTACACTCTACCCTTTCCTTCTTTGGCACTGCAGAAGGTGTATCTTACTTGAATTAAAATATCTTTTGTGATCTCAGAGCCTACAGGATTCAGAACATCTCCATCTCTGTCTAATAGCTCTATAGGGCTTAGATGATTCAAAGGCCATGAGGGTCTAGGGTGTTTCTGTGTGCAATCTGGATCTACACTCTTAGTTGTTTTTCACTTGCTGGTCTCCTTGGCTTGACCCCTGTCTGCATCCAGACCATCAACACTGACAGATACTGCTTGTTCTGTGCAATTTCCGGCATTATTCTTGCTGAACAGGCATCTACCTGGGAGCTCCCTTATTTATATTAACACAGAAACATCTGAACATACAAAAATATCATATACTATTTATGTTGATGGGTATTTGACAGCTCTCTCCCCACCAGTAGCTTCAGATCAATGGGTTTTCTTTGAGGTTCTCTATCCTTTTTGGGAAAAGAAATCACATCAGACCACTTTCTTGCTCAGGCTTTTTATCAAAGGGCATCCTGCCACTTCAGTGCTCTTTCTTATTTCCTCTGTCTTTTTGGAGAAAGGCTCTTACTGATGCCATGCAGTTAGAGCTTTGTAGAAAACACAAAACCCTCGTGCAAGATTTGTGTATCTTCGATACAGATCAGAGTTAAAAGGGGGCTCCTACTATCTTTGCTGGCTCCTTGCTGCTTGATCAATTTTCCATCTCATTATGCCCAGTGTTGGCTTTCAGGATTAACTTATAGTCAATGGTACAGTAGCCTTGACGATGAAGGAGGAAGAAAGCTATTAAATTTGATCTTCGACTTCTCCCCAGAGGTACAGAAGAACAACAAAGCAATTTACCCCTCTTATCAAGAAGGTGATTGAGGGCATTGACTTCAGCACATAACCACAATGGCCCATATTGTGCATAGCAGATATTACCTCGCAACAGGAATAGGGTCATACCACACTGCTATTATTACAACCAAGATATTGGGGCTTATACTGAACTCAGTTCACTGTGCTGGTTGTGACGAAAGGTGGCAATATGAATCTGGGGGTGAAAGTTTTAAGATGTAATTCAGTTCATGGATTCTATGATGTGATTTTTAAAATCCTGTTTCTTCCTGCTTTGGAAAGTCTGATTCAGTCCAGAGGCCTTCTGAAGGCTGTTCCCATTACTCCCACCAATTTAAAATGCCTTTTTGGGTGGGTTAACTACCTGCATGCAGTGCTGCTGCCCTGCTGGTTTTTGCTTTGTAAAATCTTTGGGAACTGGAGCACTCTCCTCCTCCTCCTCTTTTTCCCAGACAGTTTGGCTGGCAAAACCAACAATCACTATGTACTACAAAGCAAAATGGGGCAGCCTCTTTACTCGGAAACATGGCTTCCAGTCTGGGGAAGTGGTGGTGAGCTGGGCCAATCAGACCCTACGTTTGAGAGGTTTGTGGCCAATGAAATGACAAATGGGCAAACCAAAGGTGTTTGGCCCATCCCCCTCAATGTCTTCCAGTGCTTCATTGGCTGGGAAACCCAAAAGGTGGTGTCTGGTTGGCTGAGCTTCCTGCTGTTCTTCCATACCAAACTGAATCGGTTGAATTAAAGTGTCTGGTGGCAGCAACCTCAAGTCAGCTGACATTTTGCTGTGCATGCTCCATTCTGCTACTGGGATCCCACCACCTCTCTGGCATATTTTGGGTTTTTTTCGGGCCCCATACCTCTCTCCCAATATTTAGTGGTAAGGAGCAAACTGCAATTGCTTTTGTTTTGTTTTACTCAGGTATGGCAAAGCAAGGCATAATAGCTTTTTAAAAAAGGATAGAAAGATCTCACCAGTAAAAGCATTATCTGAATAGATTCTGTCATGGAAGAGCTGAATGGCTGATTAGCCAGGGAAATTAAGAGCACAATCCAATGGATGTTTGCACAGAAGAAATTCCTATAACTCTAAGCATTGCTGCCTAAATAATTGTAAGAGTTGTAGGAGTTTTTTTCTGGCTAAACATGCATAGGCTGGTATCTCCAATGTGATTTAAGAAGAACAAAATATAAATTTCACAAACTATGGGAAAAAATGACAGGGTTCAAATTTGAATCTAACTTTCTGTAGCTTGTCCAGAAAATTTTTTCTCTTTCTTTGCCTAGATTATCAAGGCCTGGCATGCTATCTACTTAACTTAAAAATGCATGGATTAAAAAAAAATCAACAAACAATTGCTTAATGATGCACTTCCAGTTAAAAAATGAACTGAAAGAAAAGGGAATTTCAGTGACCACTACGGTCACATGTATTGAAAGGACAAGAAACTTTACAGTAAGCAATGACATCACCAGGACTAAGCCAGTTTTTTTAAAAATAGACCAAACAACATTAGGGGGGGGGTAAATAATTTGCTCTTCTGAAAGTTTACAAGGAAGATCTACACAAGAAATGATCAGACTGTAAAAGCATTTGCTTGATACAGTTTTCTCTGTCACTACACTCCTGGTGGGGGAATGTACTATGAATTGCAAGTCACTGGTCACCTGGTAATCCAGGAAGGGGAAGTTCGAATGCTGGTCCAAGATATTTTGCTGCCTCAAGCCAGCACCAGCTAAATGGTTTCCACTCCATGCTATATTCTCATTTTAGGAAGTCTTGCTGTCCCTTTCAGACACCAGTTCCTGACTCCACGTAGCCATCTTTTATCCAGAAATCTGAAGAAGTCTAATTCTTGCACTTGGCAGGGCTAAGAAGACCTGCTTGTTGGATTTGTAACCTTGGAATCACTTTGAAATGCAGATTCACAAGAAAATGAACAGCAAATATGGCTCAGGAAGCAAAGGAACATGCAAGTTTGGTTTTCAAGGACAAACCTCAGCATGAAATTGTGCTTTCAGACAAGTAGAGTTACCATAATAATTCAATTCACCTTTAGATTCTGGGCAAATTTGTATAGTATTCTATCTATAGCTATATATCTATATATTCATGTATACATATATATAATATGTCTGTGTGTGTGTGTGTGTGTGTGTGTGTGTGTGCAGTTTCTCATTTACAGTTCCTGCAAAAATCTAAAACAATGTGCTTCACTTTGTATATAGCAAAGGCACCTGTGTTTATTCTCCCTTTTGGACAAAAGGTGATATTAAGATCCAGGTTTCCTGACAAAGACAGCCGTTTCTGTTCCCCCTTCTGTTTCTTCCATCTTTAATGTCCAGAAACAAGACAAGAAGGGCACACTCGACTCCTTGCTTCTGCTGACATTTTTAGCTTGTACTGCCAGAAATAGCACATGCTAAGAACAAGACCTCAGCCAGGGATAGCAAGTGCTCTATAAACCCAACTTTGAATTTTCTTCCAAGCTGAGATAGCAATATATCAGTACTAACCCTTTTAGATTACTCTGATGCAAGACAGAAATACAAAAAAACAGGGAAATGCTTTATAAGTAAGTCTACATTTCTGTCATTGGTTAGTTTATTTTTTGCATTTGTGAACTAAGTATTTGATTTTTTTTGTTTGTGCAAGTAGTGCAGATAGGTTTCAAGTGCATTAATGAACACTATCACTTATTTTATTAAGTATTAGCTTTTCTATTCAAAATATTGCCAAATAATACTGAAAACAGTGCTCTTAAGACACCTACTTGAGGTCTTGGGAAGGTTCTGCTCTGATATGGGGTGTCTCCACAGAATGTTCAAATACAGCCCCTTCAGTTCCTAAAATAAATACATAAATAAGATACCGGACAGTTATATTTAATGCCAAGATCACATTTCAAACATATTAGGTGCCTAAAACCAAATTATTTCATTGACTTCATTAGCTGAGTGCTCCCGCAGGTTAATGTTGATGAGTTTTCTTTAAGTTGAACTTGCTTTAAACAAAAATGCAGTGCATGAGAATACTTGACATGTGGCTAAGTGTGCACAAAATTAATGCCCATGTGCCACCACCATATCTGTTTGAACAGAGCAGAATATCCAGGAGAAAAATAATGTGTTCTTGTGCCTGCTTTCTCAACTGAAAGCAATAGGATAAATCCTGGTTTCTGCCAGAGATCTTGTACCCATAAGGTCAGATCTCCAGTAGTGTCAAGGTATGGGTTTTTTCCTCTATATTTGTCATTAGATTAATATTACAAATGTTAGTCAGCCATCCTTAATGCCCTGGGATGAGTTTAGTTCCCCATGTCTTATGAAATGCCATAAGACAAAGTGAGCAATTCCATATTTTTTCATTTTTATAAATTGCTTTTGTACTTATGCTCTGAAATAAATAAGAATGGTCAGATTCTCCTGATAAAGAAATGTCATATAAATACGTTTCCTCTGAAAACTCACCTCTTTTTAGATTTTGGCCCCACTGTTTAGCAAGGATAATCTTGGGGAATTTTCCTTCTCCAGGCTCATATTTTGTTGTGTAATTTACACTTAAGTAAACCTAAAATCCACTCCTTTTATGAAATTGTTACCTGTACAGTGGTAAACAATGTCCCTGAATTTCAGCCACCTTCCTTTTGCAGTTTTCTTTCTACAAATTAAAACATGTCTGGGACATAAACTATCCTAAGAATCTATTAATCTTTGCCATGTAAATGTATTGGGACACAAAATGTACTTCACCCTTTTGAGGTTACTGTAGTTAATTTTAGCCTGTTTTGAGTAGCAGGAAGAAGAATAAACTCCTCTCTCACCTCCCCCCCCCCATGGAGAAAGTGAAACTTTCTAAAACATGAAATCTATCATTATCCTGATTGCAAGCTGATCAGAGAAGGCATTGTTATGTTGATTCATTCAAACAAAAGCTTGTCATAGGAATATTTTCCTCACAGAAGCATTATTTGTCTATGGGGTAGAAAAGTGGCCTCTCAAACAAACAATAATAGTATTCTAAATTATATATGTTTTTCCTTGAGATAGCATTGGACATAAACCAATCAGAGACTTGTTCAAGGCTATCTCAAATGAGAGGTGATACTGAAAGGCTTCAGTTTTGACTAGCATGGATCAAAATCCAAACTAGAAAATAATTCCTAGCTTCACATCACCTTTGCCACCAGCCTTCACCAATGTAAGAATGCCCTATAAGCCAAAGCCCAAGCCTACTGAATGTAGAAATGCATTTCCCATGGTCCTTTGAGTCTGATGAACTGCTAGAGTGATGGAGGACTAATGAATGGAAAACATTTCTCTCTTCTTCACACATGGCATTTCAGCTACTTTTTGAAAAGTCAGTGAAGGGAAGGGAGCTGCTCTGAAGGTGCAGCGTTGCTATGGAATATTTTTGAAATGATGGGAACATTTTTCCAAGCTCTGAGATTGGTGCATTTTTCCCTAACTTTGTGTAGAATTGACTTAGGTGCTTTTCAGGTTAATCCAAAGATCCAGTTCTATCTTTTGCTTATTCAAAATGGTTTTAAGTTGAATCGGGACCATGGATGCAAACACAAAAGGGGTAAAGTAATCTCAGGTTTCCTGTGAAAGATTAACATTTTAGCTGCAATCCTTTTTATGTCCTATTGGAAGCCTCTGAAGATACAGTCCTTGTAGATTTTCAAGCATGGTCCATACATGATCCGCTGCATGGTTTACATATGGTCTAGAAGTTGGAGCAGCTCACAAAGAGCTCACATTCTACTTTTGAAGTCAAGTCTGATGTGTAACACCCCAAGGCACCCTCAGTAGTCAGGATTTAAATAAAGAACATATAACAAGAGAGATGTAACCAGTTAGTGAGATACAGGACACAGAAGATGGGAACCCAGGCTTTCCAACTAAAATTCGTTGGAGTACATTTTCACAGAATCATAGAAAAGTAGGGTTGGAAGCAGTCAAGAAGACCATCAGGTCCAGGACACCAATTTGCACAGTCCTACTCAGATGCTTGTCAATTGTCTTTTAGAACATCTCTAGTGTAGGACAGCCCACAACCTCTCCAGGCAACTGGTTCCACGGTTGTATTTCTCTGACAGTTAGGAAACCTTTCCGGATATCTAGCCTGAATCTGGTTTGTCACAACCTGCTTCTATACACCAATGCCTGGAGTATAGGAAGCAAGCAACATGAACTTGTTTGTACATGAGGGCAATCACAATATTATAGGAATAACTGGAACGAGGCAGGATAACTCACATGACTAGAACTTTACAATTGACCAATACAACCTGTTCAAGAAAAACAAAAGGGAGGAAAAGGGAAGTGGTGTCACACTGTACTTAAGAGAGTCATATCTGCACAGAATTCCAAGAAGAGGAACTTAGGAGCCCTATTGGAAGCGTGTGGCTTAATTTCAAGGGAACAAAGTATTTTAAAAAATAGCTATTTGTTCTATAACTGTCCAACTAGTCAAAAAGAGAACAAGGATGCAATCTCCGAAAAGCAACTTACCAGGGTTATTATGAAGTATTTAAATTTCCCTGAAATATGTTGGGAGGCAATTTCTGTCAAAAATGGCCCCTCAAAGAGGTTCGTATCACACGTTCCTGAGAACTTCCTTCAGCAGAAGGTCAAGAAAGGAATGAGAGGAACAGCTATCCTTGATCTAATACTAACTAAAAAGGGTGAACTAGTTGACAAAATAGTGGCCATAGGAACCCTGGGGGAAAGTGACCATGTGACATTTGAATTCTCAATTATAAAGGAGGCAAAAGTTAATTGCAGCAAGCATGCACCCTCGACTTCAAGAAATCCAACTTTAACGAACTCAGAACAATGATCCGTGAGGTGCCATGGCAACTTACTCTTAAGGGAAATGGAGTCCAAGAGGGGTGGAAAAACTTGGGGGGAAAAGAGAGTTTCCAAGCACAACTGTGAACAATTCCAACAAGAGGAAAAAAGTGTACGAGACAACACAGGAAGCCCATGTAGCTCCACAAAAAGTTAAGAGTACATTCATACTCACAGCTTTCAGCCCTGGGCAATGATAAGTTAACTCAAGGGTAGGCAATGCACCCTCTTAGACAGTCTGGTCCTGCGGATGGAAGGATCATCCATAAAGAAATTAGAGATTAAGGCAGACAGAGTGTGCAAAATCTCCCAAGATGTACCATTTAAATAAGATGAGAAGTCCCCAGGTCACATGGAAGTATTATAAATGGCAAGGACTTAAAAGATATTTCTCTGACAAAGAGCTCAGCATACATCATATCCATCCTAATTCAGCCCAAGCCACAGATAGTCATGCATTCTCAAATTGCATTCCCCTGAAACTATGGAAACTAAAAATGTAGTACTGTCACTGACTGACCAGTGTAAACTACTTATTTCTGCTCAATTTACCAGTTACTGAGATCCAGTCTTTGGAAAATGACAATGAATATGGTTTCATTAATATCACTGGAAGCATATATTACGAATTACAGAGCTGAAGCTTGGTGATAGATGAAGTTAGCAGCGCATCTAGAGAATGAACATAATGAGAGGGTCCTTGCTATGTAAACAGCAAAACAGGAGATTTCTCCATACATCATCTTGCTTTCCAAAGAAAAACGGCAGCATGCTCTGCATGATAACAAAGGCTAAATTGTGCAATTATGCTCTTGTATTTGGACAATTGTGTACTGACAAAATTTCTGCTATAATTCAATTGTAACTTCAAGTCATAGCAAATGAAACCCAACTTAATGTTGCATGCACTGTTCTTTTCCATGAAGGGGCCAAACAACATGGGATGGGATGAGTACCTGGCAGGTTTTGCTGACAGAAGTAGCAACGGCTGAAAAACTGGCATTGTTGCTATAGCCAGTTTTTATGGGCTCAGCTAAATAGCCAACGGCAGGGATTTTATTCCTGGGTATAAGTGAATTGTGATGACTGCCCCAAAGAAAGGCTTGCAGGAATTTACTTGTGTATGGCGCTGACAACCATTTGCCAGCCAAGGACAATTGTGGCAAGGAAGGATCTCCAGGTGGTTCCAGAATGCACTGGGTGAGTCACACACTTGCAGGAGGCTATATGTTCACATGAAAAGCAATGTGGTACCTTGCATAACTATCAAAAAATGGGAACTGTGTACTCAGTGGCATTGAACCTCAGTTTTGAAGCATTACTCAGTAACAACAGGGCCAATCTCAAACCCACACCAGTGCCTGTACCTGTAAATGGTTTTGATTTACGCTATTCCAAGGCTAAAGTTTTGCCACTGCTAGGGCCCGTTTGCAGTCATGGCTGTGTGTGTGTGTTCAAGCGGGGGAATGCCACTGCACCCCTGATCCCCTTGGCACCTCTTCTTTCCTATGACACGCAAACATAAGCCATGCCCTGCTGGATAAGAGGAAAGTCTGATCTAGTCCAGCATCATGCTGTTTCCTCCAGTGGAAAACAGAAAACCCTGGGAAGACCACAGGCAAGGCATCAGGACAATAACTGCTCCTGCTGTTCTTCCTCATAGCAGCCAAATGCCTAGAAGCAGCTTTATTACTTGATGGTTATAACAACTTTCTATAGCCTTAGTGTCCACAAATGTGCTTAATTCCCTTTCAAAGCCAAAGCCAAGCAAGCTAAGTGGGCCTCGCATCTTCCGTTAAATAATGCATTAACTTCCCAGTTGCTCATGTCCCCTTCCCTCCTTCTACCTCATCTGTACTTTCTTTGACCCCTGCTAGCTCCTTGTCCCTCACCCTCCTATCCAGCTGCCCACTTACTTTCAGACTGGCTCAGCTTTCCAGCCTCCTCAGGTTTTCGTGACTGCAGAGCAGCTTGTCCAGAGTTTAAATTTG